AATATATGAATGTCATGGTAGTAAAATCATCATGATATTCATTATATAAATATAGTTATATCTTTACCAAACATTTCTTCTATTACAAACTGTATACTTCGTTTCAATCCATTTTAAACAAAAAATAAACAAACAAATCGCTGACCCGACCATAGACGGTTTAGTGATGGCCATTGTAATGCCAACTATAAATCGATTAATTAATTGAATGAATCGATTTATTTATCGAATCATATTGGCGGTTTTCCTTACATGAAAATAGTGAAAATACACAACCTATAAAACTATATATTTCAAATTTCCGAAAACTTAATTTTAAATACTCCTTCAAGTCCTTACACTTAGATACCTGTTCGATTGTGATTGAAATTTTCCATTTACTAATCGATTACAAAAACTTTAATTGAAGATGAGAGAAATTAAAGATGGACCGAATGTTTTTTTCGTACAGCGCTATGCAACCATCATAAGTTATAGAAGTATAAATGAAAAGTAACCTTACTTTTGGACTACCATTTTTCAATTACGATGCTATTCAAATGAATATTGTTGGAAAAATGTTGAGATATCAAAGTCGAAATCTTCGAAATAAGTGTTCCTTATTCGATTTATTGAGTGATTGCTTTAGAATTTTAACCAAACAGGCTTGTTTGCTTTTTGTTTAAAATGGGTTGGTACAGACTATAGTAAGGTAATTTTGGTGGTTGCGAATCATAAGTACGGTAGGTAAAATAATTCTGCAAACTCAGAGGGAGGTCTTCACTCTATGTGTTATTCCTTGAAGTTTAAAAATATTGAAGCTTTAAACCTTCCAAAGTGTTAAAGTTAATGCTTGGAGCTGCATCGGTTGTAGACTTTCAATCGAAGTTTACGTCGATGATGAGAAAAAAACCAGGGTTATCAATGTGCGGTACCCGAATTAAAGGATATTTGAAAAGATTCGATTTCGATAAACTTAATCGATAACCGCAATTGATAACTGAAAAATTGAGACCGCAACCAATCAACAATAAAAATTTTCTAGGGAGAAACAAACTCGTTGGCCAAGAGTTTGCAATCCTGCTCACAGCTGTTTCTTCACCACACTACAGACAATAAAGATGGAATAATTCGACCGAGTTCCCACCTAGTTTATCCACGATCTATATAGTTGTATCGTGGCATTAGTTCTCACACAAAGAGCGAAAGTATAAACTGCATGCCGCCATGGCGACTGCTCTCCGACGACGTATCAATATCTACCCAAGTTTAGAACCGGTTCACGTTTGGCGAAATATTTTGCAACGTGCGCCCGCCATAACTCTATCAACGGCTGCACCACAATAGCTCACAAATTATAATCTCGATTGATATTATCGAATCATTAGACAAAGTTGAACCGTATATTTCTTTACAAATGCTTGTAGGTAACGGATCAAAACATTGAACGCCAAATTAAACGTGACCTTGCTTCATAAAAGAAATGCATCATAATGCTACCTTAAATGCCTATCCATCACGTTATCAAAGCAACAAAGAAGACCATGAAGCCGAAAGCAAAGCTAAGATTTATTGCGCCAGACGCCGACGAAACAAGACCGCAAATAAAGAGAACGCGAACCTTGAGCACCGTATCTGACAAAATCAATCGGACTACGAACTAAACTTGACCTAATAATGTAATTGATGAAACATTACCGCCAATACACCTATTTCATATTTTGAGAATACAGTTCCTCAAAATTTTAGCCTCGGTAGAGTAAAATCAAAGGGATTGGCGAAGGCTTCACAAAGTGGAGGGCGCCGAACGGCGAACATGACCTAGGTTGCAACATCGCGCACTTTGTTTGGTTACTGCGAGAAACTTGGACGCGGTCGAAATCAAATACCGGCACAGATATTATCACCAACAGATATTTTACCAAAATCAGAGTGAAGTCACTCTGATTTTGGTAAAAGGTAAAAAATTACACGATATTAAATACAAGCGCTTGTTCCAAGCTGTGATTAAAAGCACTTTCTATCATGTATGATATTTTATTATGCGTTATTGTTTTAAGAAACGTAAACGAAGCTGCGTTTGAATGAAACCGATCCACGAAAACGCGACAAGGAAGAATTTTGCAATGATTTCCGTACACAGCATGTTACACCCACACGCTAAAGTTGCACAACGATATGTAGGTTTTTACGTCGGCGCTTTTGTTTGAAAAGCAACAGCACAGGCTTTCAACAGCAAAATCAAGCGTGCAGCATTTTGCAAGACGCCGCTCACAAACACCAACATACAACACCGGGGGCCGCTCGCGTTACAAACCCAGATGAATAATATTAACCTACCATTTCAAAATGACATTTAAAAATTATAAATGCAATTAGGTGGGGGCGTGAATGACCAATGCGGGTATCATTGTTTGTGATGAACAATGTGTCTTTTGGGTAAAACCTACTGACCAAAAATTAAGGTTGCGATTATACTTCCACCTATTATATACACATTTGAAGGTATATAAGGTACATATTTATCTCTTGATGGAGCCTTTGAATTTTCCCATATTCATTAATAATACATTGCGTGGCGGCAGGAGTTTGTTACACACTGTTACTCCTTCTATTCAAACAAAAAAGTATTTTCACACGGTATCTTACAATGCAAGGTGCGTGCAAGCCCGCCCAGCCTTTTAGACTCCAGTGATACGCAGACAGAATCACAAGCCTTGAAAATTATGTAAATAAATGTATAAACTTGACCATGCTTTGAGATCGTATAGATTATACTAGAAAACAATAATTATATCGGCAATAATCTAGGTCATATTTGAATTAACAATTGAACAATGTCAATTAAATTATGGTTATTAGGAATAAGTGAAGGAAATAAGAAACATCTAGTTGTCCTCTCACATAATTGATAAGGTATACGACTACCAATTTCCGCTTACATCAACAGTAACTACACTAATAATGCTAAACTGTCGACGCTTGTCTACTTTAATCGATTACCGTATACCGTACCGTACTTGATAGGTTACTTATTTATTACACAACATGTTGTAACTATGCATCAACATAGGAAATGTTTCTCGTTAAAATTTATATGTATATGCTATATCATACTTTTCTCCGAATCGACCGCGTAATTTCTAAGGCTATCATCATTAAATAATTTAACATTTATATGATACATAAACGATTAGTACGTGGTTAACCTCACTGTGTTTTCGTTTGACTGCACGTGGTTATGAAATCTATACGTAAGCTTTAAAAGAACGCAGAGTTACAGGTTCGCAATCGATTAATAACTCGACAAGGTCGGTCACATAATTCACTTAAAGCATTAGTTGTACAGAGTCAAAGGTGGTGAGTAAAGGACCGTCTCCCTCCGCAAACATTCGAATTTTTGCAAGTAACTAATATTTGTATGGGACTACAAGCCCTAACTAATTTTATCAAAGAACGTACGCTGTTAAGCAGAGCATGTCCTGCGTAACTTGAGCTACGTCTCCGAGACTACAGTTTTAACCGCGATCGCCAAATAATTTGTTTCACGTGGCAATATAACAAAACAACGATGACTTAATAAAATGGTAAATTTATTTAATAAAATCGTAATAGGGTCGAAACAGGATAGCTGCCGTCCATTAACTAAAACGCGTCAAATATCCGTTTTAAATAGCAAAAATTAGAGCACAAAATTCTCTTTTAAACACAGTTAAAAATAGTTAACGTGTTCGACTAATCGGAACTTACCCTAACGACGCATAACTGTCAGTTAGCCGCGTTTTCGGACGGCATATAGGCTCTGGATCAGGATAGGAACTGTAACCATGCATAGTGCTCCCAGGCATGGCATCACGTTTGCAATGCATACACACATAATACATGTATTCCAAAATATAATATAACGAATAAGCTTATGCTAATGTCAATTTAGCATAAGCTTATTTGTTATATTATGTTTTGGGAATCTTGTCATATTGCTCTCTATACTTGTGTCTATGTCAAATAAACGTATTATTATTATTAAATTTGATGTAACTGTAGTGGACAGTATTATACGGCACTCAGAACGAAAAAAGGCACAACTGCTGTATAAGGTACGCATAGTTGTGCCTTTTTTCGTTACGAGGGAGTAAACTGATAATAAAAAACAGCAAAATTTACGCATTTTTCTTTACAGATCTCATCGCAAGAGTGGCATATACCGAGGCCTTCGCTTTCTGGCAGCAGTACGAGCGGCAGTATCAGCGATACCCGCTCCAGAGGAGGCTCTGCATCGAGTCAAGGCTCGTCTAGCAATCACAGCACGCATGTAAGAAATCCATTTACAAATACATATAAGTCAACTTGAACAACGAAAACATAACAACATGTCCTCGGAGTCCAACATAAAAAAGTCCACCAAATGTTGGTTCGGCTGAATACTTAATTCGGTGATGTTAAATTAATGTGAATGCTCAATTCACTGATTGTGTACCAATGAAATCGAAGCTTAAAACACAACTGAGTAATTGCTTCAATTTCTCTGTTAAATGACCATAAAATTTACTCAGTGATGTAAACAAATAAATTGAAATTGATAGTCTCCGAGCGTCTCTATAAATGTGTTAAGAGTATATTAAATTTGTGGCAACTAAGTTGTTAAATATTCTTGAAGGTAAGGAATATATCAAAATCCGGCTAAGATAACAATCAATAATTTTATTAGATTAATAAAAATTTGCAACGGCGATACGTTGTTGGACGATGGCAATTTATTACAAGTACAAAACAAAAAAGCAGCACAGCTCCCTAACATTTAATACCTTTAAATCGAGATAGGTCAGAGAACAAAAAAGTGTCCTTGCGTTACTTTTTAAGCGAATTAGGTAATGTTAGTTATTATCCACGGATACAAAAAAAAAATATTTCGTGTCGGGTATAGGCTTAACCTGTCAGTTCTTATACAGCATTCTTAACTACTGACGGATTACTTAATTTAACAGCTGACAACGATCGCACGATCCACGAACATAATAACGATTTTAGCAATTACTACAATGAGTCCTCTATTAACTTTGATGATCCCAATCAAACACATTCATATTTTTTAGTTTAACCATTTGTTTAACCAACGATTTCATTAGTTGTTACTTAAGATTAAAGATATGTTTAACCTTTTCATTGTTGTGATAGTTTACATACGTCAAAACCATGACCTTTTCGGTAAAAGTGTCGAGTAGGCCTGACTCAAAGTTTGTGACGTAATAGATTGCAGTGCGTGCGATATGTAGAGCTTTGAGCTCACGCTTCAATTGTCAGAGGTTTTTACAAATACTTCCTTGTAGTATAATTTAGAATATATCCACATTATTGAGTTCTTAGGTTTTCGCGATTGTTACACAAAGGAAATGAATGAAGTCAACCGTGACCATGGGGCCTGTAAAGGGCCCGAAACGTCGGTTTGTTTGAAAAAACAAATATACGCGATTTAAATCCGGAAAAATAGTTTCATTTCCTATATATCCACATTATTATAATAAAATTACGAAAGATAAATAAATTACCAATGTTATTTAGGTCAATGTTATGTAGGTATTGTTCAATATTTATTCCATGATCAAAAGGTATTTGTTTTATTTTAAAGACAATTTCTGTTTAGGATAAATAGTGATGTAAGAAATGCTGAGCGAGTACCATTTTAGATTAAATAGTTTAGATGTTAAGCTTTATTTTATAGTGTTTCCAACTTATGAGAGAATGAGAGAGAATACATTTTTCTTTCTTCCATATCAATATTTACTGTACATAATAAAAATAAATGTATTGCTTCCAGAGTGTATCGTCAGGCTCATTGCTACTGAGTGCTGCGCATCTAGCGCGCTATGCCAAAAGTCCTGTTCCCGAAGAACCAGGTGGCGGCTATCAGAATAAAATAGCAAGTAATACAAGAAAACCTTTCTCGGAATCTGTAGTGGCGATACCCGAGGAATCTCGAGATCCGGCGGATTCTTTTTGGAACGGTGTGAAGCGAGGGTCAGCTCAAGGACAAGATGCGGCGTCAGTTGCTAGCTCCACTCATTTCACTGTAGTAAATGGGTTCACGAAGCAACGCCCCGGTAAAGAGCCCAAGGCTTGCTGCTGTGACCATTCGCATCAAATCACCGTCCTCGTCATTTCGATGACGATCCTGTTCTCAGCTTGTATTCTCGCGGCCATTTGTTTTGTTGAAAGTGAGTATTGCCAATATTCTCCAACTTACTGTTTCGACCCGTGTATTTGTAGTGTGCAGAATTCTTACGGAAAGCAATGGACCACAGTCCACTTCCCTATGTCTATATCTTATCTACACTAACGTACTAACGTATGTATATTACATCAATGTACAACTTTACAAATAGTCATTATATTTTTGCTAACAAGTAACTTAATCCCTATCGTTGGTCTTGACTAAAACCAGCACTATATGAAACTTTCGCATATGCCGCAGTCAGTACCTTTTCACTGCTATGACAATAATGTTACGTTTTTACTTTTGCGTTCCTGTATTTGTGTCACTAAGAATAAAGTATTTATCTATCTATTTACCCATGGGTAGGGGAAAAGTTTATTTTTTCTCCGATATGAGATGTTTTCTAGTACCGGTTTTCTACGTTATACTGGCTTAAAACAAAATGTAATATGGCCCCTAAATAAATGTATTTTTTTTTGTTTCAGTGCGAATGCGCAGGGAGACGGGAATCTACAAATATTCTTAGAACGATTTCCGTATAAATAGTTACGTTTATTAAAATAATGTATGTTTATTCATCATGTACGTATGTGTTATACATTTATGTATGAAAAAAAAACGTTTGCAGCTAGCGGCGCTAAAAACGGCAAGACATCGCCAAGGTTTTAAAAGTGTAATCATCCGCGTGTTAACAAAATGTATGGCCATTTTCAAGTATAAGTTAAAAGTTGAGTACGCAAAATGTCAGAAAGAATATAAGTTACTCGAGAGTAGTACTTGTGTTTAAAATCGAAAGGTAATAAATTTCATGAACGTTTAGTTCAAATTAGAAAAATGTTTTAGAATTTATGAAAAATCAGTATTTAGGAAATAAACGATTAGTGCAATAAAAACCCAGTAGTCGATCATTATACGACTTAAGGGTAAGGTTTGATATAAGTAGTTTATAATACTTTTTTGTAATTTTTTATTTATTATGCTACTATAACTGGGTGACTTGTAAGGGCCACGAGACGTGTTGTTAAGTGATCTTAAATATAACTTATAGGTATTGATCTAAAAACTGACATATTTTTTTCTATTGACATGAACATTTTTCTTATGTTATGATTATAAAAGCGACATCTCTCAGCCGCAGGTAGCTGTAAAGACACCTGGCTGAGAGAAGCAAAACTTTCATAGACTTTTCACAGATGGCGCTACAGCAAAAACGTTAAAAACCGAAAACAAAGATCTGCAACAACAGTTACTGGTTCGATCCGTAGCTCATCAGTTGATAGAGCGTTAGGCACGTTATGCTGAAGGCGTTGTTTCAAATCCAGCCGGATCAAATGATTTTTTCTTAGCGATGTAATGATTATAATGAACATTTATATTAAAATTCAATACAAGCAACTTGATTTAAGTCCAAAATAGGTAGCTGTCTTTATTTTAGTAAATACTTCAAGTAATTAATTAAATTAACGAATATGTTGTATGGAACTAGTGTTGTTTACTACATTATTTTGGATATGAAAGAAATAAAAGTTGCACATTTTTGTAGTAAAACATGAAAATTTGCATCTTTTAAACGTCTTTAGGTAATTATTATACCTTAATGTTTAAGAAATAGATTTAGGTCTATTTATAAAACACAGTAAAAATGCTGTGAAATATATAATTATAAATAAATAATTGTTATGGATGAACTGTGATACACAATAAAATTATATCCCAAATTACTTTATTTCATTCGAAAATATTTCTCACGCCCGATTTATTACACCATGCAACACGATTCTTGTTTCTGAGTTGGCAATATCATTTTTAAATTATTGGTTCTAACATAAAAATATGAAAAAAGCTTTATTTTCCTGCAAAAACTTTGCTTTTGGTGGTAAATAAAAGGTAAAAAATTAAAGGTACGTACAGGTTTACGGTTTTTTTTTATTTAAAAACAAAAACGGAACATTATATTTCAAAATAGTACATTTCAACTAAAATTCTACAAATTCATCAATCAATCAATAATATTTATTTTAATGTAATAAAATAATATTAGTTTTTTTCTGTATCTACCCTCAGAAAGAGAAGCAGTGTTGGAGTTTTTTTTGTGTTTTTTTGTTTTGTTTTGTTAACTGCCTCCGTGGCCGAACGGTTACCATGCCGGACTGCCACGCAGAGGTCCCAGGTTCGATTCCCGGGCCGGGAGAAATGTTTGTATGGCTTACATTTATTCTCTCGTGAGTTTGGGTGTAATTTGTGGTTGTCTATGTGTGTGTCCATGGCACCCGCGGCACAGGGTTTCCCTAGTGCGGGGCTATGTTGAGTGTGTGCGTTATTATTATTATAATTTGCGTCTATTTTTAAAAAAACGCCATAAATAGTAATTAAGCAAAATCACGTGTTTTTTGTGTTCTTTGTGTTTATACGAACATTAAATTGTGCACAAAATTTTGAATAACGTTAAAGTCGTGTTAGTGAAGTGTAAATTAAGTGAGAAAAATCGTAACGACATTTTTCATGCTAGTGTCGTATTTCGAGCAAAATATGAAGTGCTTTCAATGCGAGAATGAATACAACGATGAAAACACAGTGCAGTGTGATGGTTGCAAAAGGAATATCTGTTTGCAATGCAGTAACTTGACGAGTAGTGAGGCGCGTGTCATGGGCTAACAGGGAAACGCACACTCCTGTACTTGTGTCCCGCATGTCGAGAGGCCCTATTCCAAGTGCCTAAGCTCGTCAAATCCTACGATGGACTGCGCGAAGAACTCGATGATGTAAAAAAGCTGCTATTAAAAACCACCAATGTAGCTTCGCTGGAGGTGTCAGTAGTTAACACATTCCCATCTGACACCAATGCTATAATGGAGGAAATCCTCGAACGTGAGCGCAGAGCCAGCAATGTGATTTTGGTGGGTGTTAAATAATGTATCTCTGAAAATGGCAGCGACTGAAAGACACACGATGAATCAACTATAAAGAAGCTTTTATTGGATATGAACAGTGGAGGCGACTGCTCGAATAAAGTGATGACTGTGCAACGCTTAGGACGTCGTGAAGGTGGCAAAATCATATATAAAGGTGGTACTTTCTTCCCGCCAAGATGCGGTGTGGATACTTAAATACAAAAGTAAGGCCAAAAGGACGTAAGAATTTATAATGATAAAACACCTATGCAACTTAGAAACTCTCTTAAAACTAGAGTAGAAAAGGGGGAAATTAACCTCACAATTAGATATGTGAACGGTGTACCTAAAATTGTGAACCATAAAAACTAATCAACTATAATAGAAAACCGTACGGTTTTCTATTATAGTTGATTAGTTCTGACTGACCTTACATTTATGTACACTAATTTGTTCTCTTTACCGCCTAAATTTGATCTGTTACTACTCTTATAAACTCAAAAAAACCAACTTTTGTTATTCTCACGGAAACATGGTTAAACAGTAAAGATCTCAACAGTACATATAGCATACCAAGCTACACTTTGTTCAGACTAGACCGTAAATTTATGAAAAATCCTTTTCAAAGCAAAACCAGAGGTGGAGGTGTGGCAATGTATGTTAGAGACAACTTAAATGGGATACCTATAGTTGTTAGACGTAATCAGAGATACATGTGTGAAGATGTGGATGCTCTTTACCTAGATATTCAGATTAACACCTATCACTTTCTACTGGTATGGGTGTATCGACCTCATGATATAAACGAAGAGACGTGGAGAGCACGTGACACTAAACTGTGGACAAACCTTTTGGCAGCCTCGGAAAGCAATACTATAATCATTGCTGGTGATTCTAATTATTGCACAATTAAATGGCCAATTCTCATAGATCAGCACCAAATAGGGCGCAAGCAGGACTTTTTAAAGACTGTTTGTTAGCGGTAATCTCTTCCAACTTGTTAATAGTCCTACAAGGTTCCAGCACAATCAGGCTCCCTCACTTTTGGACCTGGTAATGATTAATGAGGAGACTCTGATTAAGAAAACACTTCATAAACCACACAAGGTAAAAGCGACCACTGTGTACTAGAGTTCAGTTTCCAATATCAGGTACAAACATTAAATTACTCAACCAAGTTTAAACGATACTATGAATCTATTAACTTTGACCACTATAACAAGTTTACAAGTCTTACAAGTCTTAGCCAAGAACCTTCAGACTGTAAACCTCACAAGTAACACAAAACAGTTGTGGTTAGGAATCTTGAAAGCAGTCAACACCACCACAGACAAGCATGCCCCAGAAAAGATAGTTAAAAATAAAACTAAAAATAAGCCTTGAATCAATAAATATGTTCTCAATCTAGTTGTACATAACACTGCTATGGGATAAGTACACATCTTCTGGCTCAGGCGATGATTACATGAAATTCCGTGTGATTAGCAACAGGTGCTCTATCTACGAAACAAAGAAGCGTGTACGAATCAAAAACACTGGAACATGGTGACAAAGCCTTCTACTCTCACGTACGCCGATGCACATCTACTAAAATAAGCATCCCACTAGCAATTAGCAGTTATAATGGAGACATAGTAACGAATCCCAGTGATATAGCGGAGGTATTTGCAGAGGACTTTTTAAAAGCTTACTCAGAAGAACCCGTCATGGACCAACACACCACAATAGCCTCAGTTGCCCGAGTAGAGAATAGTTTAAATGACATTACATTCACGGTAAAAGATGTGCAAGAAACTATGTTAAAATTGAACACACAATCCTCTCCTGGGCCTGACAAACTACCAAGTAGCATTCTCAAACACTGTGTAAAGGTCTTAGCTCCCACTTTGACAGAACTAATGAATAAATCTTTCAAAACGGGATATTTGCCTCAAGGTTAGAAGCACGCTATAGTTACTCCTATTTATAAAAAAGGAGATAAGACTTAGCCTGGAAATTTTCGTCCCATAAGTCTCACCAGTATTGTGGTCAAAATTATGGAAAGATTTATTTGTGATCGACTAAATCAGTTTTTGAATCGGGAATGTATAATATTAACCAAACATCATGGATTTGTACGAAAAAGATCAACTGTTACAAACTTGTTAACATGTGTGAATGCATGGAGCAAAGAACTTGATAATAAGAACCCGATGGATGTAGTGTACCTGAACTTTGAACGCGCTTTTGATAAAGTTCCGCATCAGCGCCTCTTAATGAAGCTAGATCACTTCGGTGTACCTGGGACTCTACTTAAATGGATAGACAATTATCTTAAAAACAGAACATTCCAGGTACGTGCCGGTAACTCGCTGTCGCAACTAAAGCGGGTACTGAGCGGGGTACCGCAGGGATCAGTACTCGCTCCCCATCTATTTGGAATATATGTAACAGATCTAGTTGAGCTCATAGATTCCAATTGTGCCTTTTTTGCTGATGATGGAAAGTTTTTGGTAAATCCACTTATAAACCCTGGACAACTTCAAAAAGATCTAAATCGTATACAAAACTGGACCAAAGATTGGATTATCAAATTGAATGCATCAAAATGTAGCATTTTGCATCTTGGTAACAATAACCCCAAAGTTACATACAATTTGCATGGAAATACCTTAGCCGCAGTCAAAAAATTCAAAAAGATCTTGGACTCAATATCGCATTCAATTTAAAGTGGGGTGAGCATATCACTACAATAGTCAAGAAAGCTAACTCTTATATCTATGTCATACGCAGATCGTTCCAAACAATGGCAGTAGACGTGTTCCTCAAAATCTTTAAGACCTATATACGGCCACTGCTGGAATATGGATATCAAGTGTGGAGCCCTTATTTCCAAAAAGACATAAACCTTCTTGAAAACGTTCAGAGGAATGACAACTAAAATGCCACAGGCTCTTCGATGCAAATCCTATGAGGAGAGACTACACGTATTACGCCTCACTACTCATACACGCCAAGAAAGAAAGAAGAAAGACGGCTTCGTGGTGACCTCATCGAGACTTATAAAATTCTGTTGAGTCAGCACAATCTACCAGCAATACAAAACATCTTTAAAAGAAAAGAAAACTTTAAACCGTCACGTGGCCACCATTTGAAACTAGTTCGTGCACCTTCCAAAACTCCTGCTGCACACAATTTTTTCAGCAAGAGTGGTGCACAATTGGAAAATGCTACCGGAAGATGTTGTTTCTGCTGTCTCTGTTAATGTCTTCAAAAACAAGCCCGACAACTGGCTACGAAAGGGTGAATCAGTGCTAAAAAAATGAACTAAAACAACGATATAAATTTCAACACTGTGTGATGTAGACATACCAGCGAAAGGTGCTATATCTATAATCAAACAAATAAATAAATAAATTTATTTGCTATAACAAATAATAACGTAGCACAAACATGTTACACCAGAAAATGAGACACATTAAATTATATAATCAGTATAATAGTAATAATACGTATACATATTAGTAATCATTGTCACAGGTGCTTCAATTAATTTAAATTATTTTTTATATAATACTAAATAATTATTGAAAAAATCCCTAACACCATAATATACTTTTTCCCTCAAGAATTAGTAAAATCAATGCCTAATGCAAAGTCTTTAATAGCATGTGGTACTCTATTGTAAATTGTAAAACTCTTGCACAAATTGTTTTGATTATACATATTTCTCGCTTTTCTGTAATTTCGGGGGTTGGTGTAAATATTTTTGGTAAACGATTGTATAATACGTCCATGGGTAAACGAATGTAAATTGATTTTATGATTGATGACGAAGACCCAAGATATGTGTAAATTTACGAGATTATATAAATACCACTGTTGTGGTCTGTGGCCATGTGAATAGACAGGTATGTAAATACCACTGTGACAGCCACAAAAGTAAAGTTTCAGGGGTATACTTACAGTATCAAGCAAGTATTTATAAAAGAGTAGTAATAGTGTCAGTAGCAGTATCTAAAGCTATAGCTACTATTTTATAGATACTTGCTACTCAAAGAAACAAAAACGAATACTGTCAAACCAGAAACAATTTTTTTGAAAATTTGTTACAGTGTTACATAGGGCGCACTATAAGTTTCCGGAACTGGCCTCTTACATAAACAATATTTAAAAAGTAATTACAACATTTGAAAACGGAACTCTTTGGCTGTAGAATACAGTTTGTTTCATCTGACTGTCACTTGTTTTTACATTGTGGCGTCATTTTAGAAATTGGTGGTCTACATCACCATGGATTTAACTCGTGAAAATTTTCGTAGTATGATTTTCTGAGTACTTTAAGTGTAATGTAACAACTCAGCGGAGCTTTGCTCGGCTTCAAACTGCTTTTGGCGATGAAGCACTACGCAAAACGACTGTTTATAGCTCTGGTTTGCAGAATTCAAACGCGGTCGTGTGAATCTCAGTGACAAATTTCGTGATGATCGCCCGTCCTCTGCTGTGAACAATAAAAATATCGATGCTGTTTGCCGTATGATCAAAACAGGCAGGCATGTGACATACCATGAGATTCGGGCATCTTTAGGCATAGGCATGCTCCAAATACAATCAATATTACACAAATATTTGGATGTGAAAAAACTGTTCTCTCGGTGGATCCCACACAATTTGACTGAGGCTCAAAAAACGGATCGCGTCACTTGGTGCAATACCATGCTTACCAGATTCAACGAAAGGGCGTCAAATTTGGTGTGGGACATAGTAACAGGTGACGAAACATGGATTTATAGTTACGATCCCAAAACAAAGCAGCAATCGAGCGTATGGGTCTTTCGAGATGAACCGAAACCAACCAAAGTGGCGCGCGTGGAAAGTGCCTCTAAGCGGATGATTGCTTCTTTTTTTTAACAAAACTGGACACGTGGCTACTGTTGCTTTGGAGAATCGTTGTACCGTGAATAGTGATTGGTACACGATCATTTCTTTGCCGGAAGTTATTGATAAACTCCGTAAAAATAACCGTAAAGGCCGTATCATCTTGCACCACGATAATGCCAGTTCTCACACGGCCAGACAGACAAATGAATTTTTGAAGGTGAACAACGTTGACCTTAATAGTCATCCCGCGTACAGTCCCGACCTGGCACCTTGTGACTTTTATTTATTTCCAAAAATTAAGAACCAGTTACGCGGTCAATGATTTTCATCACCTGAAAAAGGCTGTCGAAGAGCATGAAAAATATGTTTCAGAGATTGTCACGGAGGAGTGTCATAAATGTTTTCAAAATTGGTTCATTCGTATGACAAAGTGCACTAACGCTAATGGAGAATATTTTGAGAAACAATAAATTAATTTCTGACCATTTATAGTATTTTTTTCTTATTCATTCCGGAAAGTTATAGTGCGCCTTACGTATAAGCATGAGATTGTTAAAAACAACTGTCTCAAATGTTTTTTTTAACTAAGACTCAAACTGTTCTTATATGTAGGGGTCAAATTTATGAAGAGTTGCGAGGAACGTTGCCAGAGTTTTCGTTTCTAAATATAATTGTCACGATGTGACATACTTGTTATTCAAAATTATGTGAAGTGCGAATTTCTGACGTTCCGTGATTTAGAAGCTATCAAAATTTCCAACAACCCATTTTAAAGCTTCTCTATGCATCCTCTAGATCAGAGGTGTCCAAACTTTTTGTCGGTTACACCACACGCTAGTTTTATCTGCTTTACCCCCCTGTCTTATATTGTTTATTTTTTTACAAATGCATTAACTTCAAATGTGTGTTTGATAGCTGACACACTGCTAGTGTAAAACTTTGTAAAAATAAAACAAATTGTTGTTAAGGTATAAACGTTTATCCAATCAAATATCTATTATAAGAAAGTATTGTGTGTGGTAGAGGCACTATGTAATTTGGATTATTCCACTCATGGAAAGTCAAAATCTTGGTCACAACCTGCCAAACTCATGCATCCCCAATGTTTTTTTCTGATATAGACCCCTTGTTGGATTGGACTCCTTGTGGGTCGACATTGTCCATTGACCACTTTGGGAATCATCGCCCTAGAGAAACTGTTAACATCCCCTGGTAACTTATTATTTCCATGCAGAATTTTAATTGTACACAATAATTTTAAATTCAGCAATAAAAAGAAACATACCTCAATTTCTTCTAAGGTCTGTGTCCATCTGTAGTTCTCAAGGTCGCATCCGTTGCCCGCATTAGGCTTGAGCTTGCCTTTCTCTTTGGGATCTTCCTCTTCTTCTGGAAGCATTTCAGCATCATTGTCAGCAGTGCCGTCGCCACCACCTACCTCAGCTCCTGGGTAATGGGAAAAGAATGTATATGTATATATCAGTAAATGAAATTACTCTCTCCACACTCCTTGTGAAGGAAGTACTGCCACCTTATCTATTTCTGCCACCAAGCAGTAATGTGAGCATTACTGCATTCCAGTTTAGAAGGGTAAGGTTGCTGGTGAAATTACAGGCACATGGGACTTGTCAACTTATGTCTCAGTGTGATGGATGCAGTGGCAGTGCCCAATAAGATCTTTGCGAGTTAAAGCTCCGAATGGCAGAGCAACTGTTATGGATAGGCGTGTCGCCACCAGGCACACGACTTGTTCGTCCTGTTACTTGGTGTTATAAAAAAACCTAGACTGTAGTATGTTGGAATAAGAGAAAATGTAAGATGACAAGAAGCAATTACTAGACTTCTTCTCCTGCTCTATATCCTCTTGCATCTTATCAGCTTCCTGGTCAGTGACTTCAATGACCGAGGCTGGTTCGAAATCTTGCGCCAGTCTCTCTTGTTCCTTCTTCTGCCGAATTTCCTTCAACCTTTTATCCGCTTCTTCTTTCTCTTTCTTGATTCTGTCTGACTCATCACAAGCTTTCTTGGCATGGGCATAGAATGTGTCCTTTAGTACCTGAAAAAGTTGTTTTTTATTATAATTTTTATACCCACATAAGCTCAATTTTGTGATTAACCTGTCGATTACTGAGAATTGCTTTAAAGGAATTTAAATCTTAACATATTAGTAGACCGCAAGTTACCGTTTGACAAATGCTCAACATTTTTGATCTTTAACAGCACAAACTCCATCATGATTGTGTATCAAGTCACACCAGGTTGAAGGCAACATTATTATAAGGTGTAAACATATGTGCTATAACATTTACATCCAAAAATATTCCCCTGCAAATGTTATTCAACTATGTCACTAAAAGTTAGGCCACTTTGTATTCTACAACATTCACTTCCATCACCAAGTGATGAATCTAAAGCCTAACTTGCTGCTGAGAGTAAATAGTAAATAAGTTTATTAATTACAATATACTTACTTTTTCCCATTCACCAGCTTGACCTCCAGTGAAAAAGTCTGTTTTTCTTGCAAGGAAACCAACTATTGTATTCAGGAGCTGAAAACAGAATATTATCAATATAAGTATATCAGATCCAAAACTATGAGCAGAAATTTTTTAAAGGACATTTTTAATACATGAAAAATTTTTACTACTTTTATTGAGGCAAACCCTTTTTTTGCCAAATCAATATGCTTTTAATAGCTACTAAAGTACTATTATTTTTTATCTATATTATTCCTATTAGTTTGTTAACACATAAAATAAGCAAAAATAGCCTTTGTTCTCTTCCAAGGGCATTTTAATTGGATTATTATAATAGTGAGGTATTAAAACTAAATATGTGAACATCAGCAACTTTTATTCTTTAGTCCAAAAATATACATAGTAATTTCTCCTAATCTTTAGCTCTGTACTGTTTTGTTCTCCCCACACTAATTATCTTAACCTCTCAAATATAATAGAGTGTATGATCTATGTCTTAACCCTTTACGCATCCTACTGGCATGTACTGGCATATGCATGGTACATGTGTCTCTAATGATTTTCGTAAAAAAACAATATATTTTAAAATGGTGCATGAAAACACAGCTACACTGATTAGGCACACCGCATGATTTTAGAACACTACAGTGTTCGCGTATTCCATTCAATTAATCGATTCTAAACATAATCATTATTGTTCAAGTATTTGTTGATTACAAGTAGTCATAATAATAATATAGTAGGAAAATAGTAGAATAAGACGGTAAGTCCTTTATTTTACTTGTTTTTAAAAAATGTTAATTACTTAAAGAAATTAAGACTTTAATTTTTAATAGACTTCAAATATTGAAATTATTGTCCTTCCAACAAAATGAGCTTATTATATAACATCTTTTTGTAATAGAAGATCTTATTGATTAACTTAAATAATGAATACACATGTCAATACATGAACTTGCGACTGCCTAAATTAATTTTACTAGATGGTTTTCTGTTGGTAATTGATCAAATTGATGAATGCCAAGACAAATGAAAATGTGACAGCCGACAAAAATATGATAAAATCTTATTAATCAGAGGAGGTTTAGTTAATGACGGCCTCATGTAAAATTTTTGTGATTTGTTTATTACTGCTATTCTGCAAATTTGGATAGCATCTTAGCTGGAATAAACTAGACCACCTTCGTCCTCGAAAGCAACAAACTCATACATATGACCAACTCCAGGTTTTTGTAAAGACAGCGCACTGAATTATATATTTTTTTGTATTACTTGTAGTACATGTCCGGCGATATTCAAATTATTTGCTCCCAATATTCGGACATTGGAGGCAACATGCTGCAAAAATTATCGAAATTACAGATACTACTGATAACAAAATACATAATAGTACAAAACTGGAAAACAAAAACGAAACGTTACTAAATGTTATAACAAAAGAGTTATAGATTATTTTTATAATATTGCTCATAATAATTCATATATCATATATCATAACGTCATAATAATTTTCGTCCCTTTGTTTTCAAAATCGATCAGAATCGAGAACAGTGTTGCCTAACTTGCCTAATGTACACATCACTAAATGTTAAATTTAGCCAAAGAAATGTGCAATTGGCGGTACTACAAAACTGAATGCATTATACAAAAGTGCATTCGTTCAATACCCATGGTGTATTAACAATGGATCACAAATTTATCGCACCAAGTAAAAGCTGCAATGTAGTACAAAACATGAGGCATACACTCGGTTGCATATTTGTTTTCTTGAACTTCATACAAAACCAATTAATTGCTTTTAAAATAAATTATGCATCTTCTGATTACAAAATCACTTGCCTGTGGAAGGAAGGATCCCTGTTTACCTGTTTGTCCACAGTTATGGTGCTTTTGCAGTTTTTAATGGCACAATTATGCATTTTTCGCGTTTTCGACTGGTGTTTACCTACAATAATGGTTGAGCGTGTTCTGGTGTGTAGCAGTGGCAAGTACGTGAATTTCACTTACTTTGGGCACGCGAAGTACATACACTTACAGCATCTATCTAGATATATGTCTGTGGTCTTTCAGATCTGCATGTGACGTGTTAATATTATCATCAAAATAATTGTGGTACCCTTTATGTGTTTTGAGTAACATTGTTGTTATCCACTTTACTCAATTAGTCACCATAGCAAAAATTTGTAATATTTTGAGGTTTTGGGAGATACCAGCCTTGCTAATGATGTCTCTCACCATAATTTTTATATTATTTTAACAAAACTACTATACCTAGTCATTTTTATTTGACATTGGTGGAATCATTGATTATTTCAATGAGGCCATAACCTTTAACAAGAGATTTTAGGAATGTGCTTAATGGCACCAATATTTCACACATTATGAAATTGAGTATCAGAGAATATGAGTTTATATTTTATTTGAGTAAGTTTACATACATAGCAAGAATTTATTAGACATAATTATAGCAACTAACACAATGAAACTAATACTGTTACTAAATGAAACACTTTTGTGAAATCACCATGAAAATTTCTGAGCATAATATAAATTTGAAAAAAAAAAACCAAGATTTTCTTAAACAGTATTGATTTCAATGAGCAACATAATAGTCACAATAATCTTAGCTCAATTTTAGAATACTTAAGACAAGGTAGCAATCTGATGCTTTTGCAGGATAATAACCTCACTTTTAAATTTAAACATACATTTTTAGACCATAATTTGTTCCAGTGTTAGGGAGAAAATTCAATACTAAATTACTATTATATTAGACAAAATTTCCTCGAATTGCACTTACTATGCTCACAAGTGAATAAGTGCACTTTCATCTGTAAGGAACTTCATGTACTGAATTTCAAAAAAAGAGCACTGAAGCTGTGTTTTTTTCTTTCAAGAAATTTTTCGGAGTTTCCTTAGTTTTACACCACTACATGTATCGGAAACTCATTACTGCCAACTAGACCAGGATCCTATGAATCACGAATCGAATACTCCAGAACATAGACGAGAGGAAAACTTACATCTTTCACACCACCCTCATGTTGTTGTGCCATAGCAAGGAGCATGCTATCAAATCTTTCAGGATCAGCAGCCATTCTCGATGTATACTGAACTTTAACAACTTTCTTAGTCGTATCTAAATTTGCGCACAAAGGCTTTGTTTAGTTTCCAAACGCGCCGGTTTCTATAGTTTTATGTTTTATGCATGCACCTGTCATCCTCTCACGCTGTCAGACTCGGCTAGTGTTGCCAGCAGTCAGCACTCAAGTTAAGTCTGTCTGCATCTGGGGGTCTACTCTCGATCTCCGTCCGACATCCGTCCGAGTAATACTTGACCAAATAAAAAGATGCATGATGCGAATGAAGCTTCATACTGGATACTTGTCTTTTAATTTTGTCGAATATTACTTATTTGACAGTTATTGTTTCGCACGGATGTCAAACGGAGATCGATAGTAGACCCCCTGAAACGAATTCGTTAAAAAAAAGTTAAAAAAATAGATTGAAAAGAAAGAGTAAAACGGCCCACTCACTACCAGCACGGCAGGTGCAAGCCGCGCAGGCAGGAGACTGATCACACACTATCCTGCGTATGGCCCACGTTACTATGTTTCATATGTTCCTACAAATCATATCGCTCAGATTCGTTTTTATCTATTAGTTAAAAAATAAATCTGCCGATCAACACACACAGCGTTTAGTCCCAAATTGAATGGCAAGTCATCTGTTGCAATTATTGTAGAACCTGACGATTAATATGTTGGCCAACAGAACACAGTGCTTTCTACTTTTTGTTAAGAGTAGTTACACACGGCGACTTTGAGCAGTGATGCAAACGCGCGTTCGTTAAACACGCGATTGTATCGCTACACTTGCGATTTATAGACGATGCGATCACATCGCTCAATCGCTTAAAAATCACAAGTATAGCAATGCAGTCGCGTGTTTGCATCGGTGCTTGTGTATGTCAGAAATTGGTGTGTGTAAAAAGGTAGACGATAAACTACTACTATTACTGCATCGCTTCTAAAAGTCGCCGTGCGTAACCCTTCTAAAAGGCATTCATTATCCTGCATTGCAGTCCGTCTTGCCGTCCGCCGCGTAATGCAGGATTATGAATGTAGTCCCTGCGTGCAAGCCGTCATGCAATCTTTCAATGCGTCCTGCGAGACTCCACACGTGGGCCATACGCAGGATAGTATGTGAGCAGTCTTCTGCCTGTGTGGCGCGCGGCGGACTGCCACGCAGGCCTCGATTATTATCGAAACCGCTGTCGGTGTCGCCGAAACACACTTAAATAAAATGATAAACACTACGAAATTTTGATAATGATTGGTCTTAGTTTCTAATTGAAAAAGATTTAACAAATTCTGAATTTTTAATATAATTTAAACTTTATACGTCGCTATATCGTTGAAATACTTTTATTGCAAGTTATGACGTTTTGATTTTATATTGAAATTTTATTCAACGTGCTGCCATCTTGCCGCCAGTAGCTGGACTACAACGAACGATTAACATCAATTCGATAAACAGAAAATTGAATATTTTTTAAAATATTTTTTAAAGCCTTTCCGATGATATGAAATACTACTACGGGCTACGGGTAATATTTTTGGTGCGGCTATCATTTTTGCACTCCAAAACAGCACAATAAGAATTGCAACTCGAGTTAGCAATCGCGTCAACTCGAGTAACTCGAGTTGAAAAAAATACAACTTTACAGGTGCTGTAAGAGTAAGGAATACGTCCATGAAGTAGGTGCTTCAAAGGATGGAAAAAGGATGCTTGCTTCGAAGTTTTCCATTACTACAAAAATAATAAAAAAATATTGGCTTTTGTTTATGGAGTAATATATATTACAACACAGCCATCTAATGAATATGGAACTGTGGCGCGTTCGATCAGAGTATTGAAGGTGGTGCAGTAATTTACAATAGAAAAGTTTTAAACTAGCACATGTCAAACTTCTTAAACCACAGAGTAAATAGATCAGAAACACATTGCAAAATGCAAAGAAAGTGAAAGAAAAGTCACTCGACGGAGGTCATTCATTGCATTTTTATGCATTTTCTAACTGATACTGTCTGCTTTTTGATCAATATTTGATTCTAAGTCTAATGTTTGCTGTTATTGTGATGTGCATCACTAAAAAGGTGTGTGAAAGTTGTAATGTTGTCGTGCGCTCATCCTTCTTAATTTTCTGTCATTTGTCAATTTATTTACTACGGGATAATAACTTTGTTTTTGCAGAAGCTTCGCCAAGATACGTAGCGATGGCAGATCAATTTTGTTTACGCTGGAATAACTTCCAGACGAACATAGTAAGCGCTTTGGATTCTTTGAAATGTTCGGAGGATCTTGTAGACGTTACACTTACTTGCGAAGGGAGAAACATCAAGGCCCATAAAGTAATACTCTCAGCGTGCAGCCCGTACTTCAGGAATGTGTTCAAGGTGAATGACTTAGTATGAATAACCTTCGTTTTATATTAACATCTATGTATAGGTTATTTACTATCAACATGTAGGTCAGGGCTGTTCAACTGCCTGCACCGCGAGCCGAGGGCCGCGCGAGCCAAAACCAGCACATTGAAGGTCATTGTTGATGTCTCACAGGTTTGAGAATGTTAACTGAGAACTTTCTAAACATTGTAACTAGATTTATATTGTTATTTAATAAATAACTCAAAACTTCATTGTATTGACAATGCATACAAACACAATTTCTTTAACTTATATCAAAACATGAAACCGTAGCTTTGTCTTGTAGTTAAAGATGTCTTAACAATTAGTAAACAACTGTGCTGTTATTTTCAGGAAAACCCATGTCAGCATCCGGTTATAATCCTGAAGGATGTATCTGCTGATGACATTGTCAGTTTGCTGTCCTACATGTACCAGGGTGAAGTGTTTATAGAAGAGAGTAAGCTGTCTTCATTTCTTCACACAGCTGCTTTGCTACAGGTTAAAGGCCTCACTGGAGTTACTCAGCAGGTAATTTATAAAATATCTTTACTAACTTAGGTACCCTATAATATAATAATGTTCCAAATGACTGCACCAATTATGTGTACTTTAAGGTAATTCCCTGTACTAGGAGTATGAGGCTATCTATAACACTCAGATCAAAATTAATTTAGAAAAGTTTGTTCTTGAATGAATCCTACTAGGAATCAAGGTCAAATGAAGTCATCGTATGATGGAATTTAAACTTTACATTTACACCAAATGGTTGTGTATCAAATATTCCAAAATTGCATTAAGTCCACATTAACTATAAAAATGCTTATTTTTGCCTTTGATTCCTAGTTGATGTTTTTAATGATGCATTTTAAATAAATAACAGATTAAGAGTGCTATTACTTTGGAATACTTTTCTTATTGTATTATGACCGTGATTTGTTTGGTATTATGCTATTGGGCAAGTTTATTGAAGAGGACTCTTCAATAAACTTGCCCAAAGTAATAATAAACATACTCAATTATTTAATTTCTTCTGTAATATTATTGGAGTCTATTATCCACTGATAATTGTTTTAATAACCTGTGATTTTTTTAGAACCAAAAAGAAAGTTTCTCATCACCAAACACTTCCAATAAACTGTACACACAATTGACAATATCACCCAAGTCTCAAATTGGTGCTGTTCACAAGGAAAGTAAACCACCAGCATTGAAAAAGAGAAGGTGCAGCACTTCTGACAAACCTAGTGATGTAACAATTGGTGAAACACACAAGAAAAGCAAACTTTTAGATACTTGTGATATTTATAACAGACCAAATGTGAACAATGTAATGAAAATTGATAATCCTGTATTTTTGCCTGAAAACAATGGTGAAAAGAAAACTGATGGCAAAGGGACACATGTTGAACAACCTCAAATTACTGCTAATGGAAAAAATTGTACACTCAATCAGGTAAGTGTCTATTTACACTATGTCTGCAGACTAGTTTTTTTTTTGTTTTTAGTAATCTCAAAACAAAAATTTAATTTATTTACTCTAAATAAGTAAATAAATGAACCAAAATGTTTTGATGGATTGATCAATTGAGCAGATTTACTTGAACAATGTTTGTTTATTGTGGGTACTAATAAATACGTTCTTGTCTATTTTATGTGATTAACCAATTAGGTTTGTATTAAAATATTTTCCAGGTCTCAGCACAGGGAGAGAACATTCCTATAATAATAAAATCTGAAAAAATTGATGACATCAACTTTCCAGTGCCAAACCCCACAGCCAATTCAGAAAACGATGACAGTCTTCCTGATTATGAAAACAGTATGTTAGCCAGGTCTTTGCTCTCAGGTACTTTAAATAATTTATCTTGTCCTAAAGTGTTCTCATGTAATTACAAATTCTGTTTTATATAATGCTAATGTATTGTTCTATTTCAGGCATAAACCCATCCAAAAGTGATGTCAGTGCCAACAATTCAACAGCAAAAAAAGTCTCTAATGTATCAGATATTCATTGCACTCGACCAAAAGATGTCACCACTGATTCTGAAACCTTAACCAATGTCGTTTCCAAGAGTCCACCTAAAAATGCTGTCTCAGAGGAACTGTATGTCAAGTCAGAGAAACATTCACCTAAATCTGAAGTTGAGTATGAGCCAGAAGTACTATTATCGGAACAACAAGACGGAACAGATTCAGACAATCCATATTCGGAACAGTCACAAGCTCTTTTGCTACTGGCAGGCTTGTCCAGCGTCCCAGTGTTAGGTGGTGCTTCTACTTCACAAGGAATTTCTCATCAGTCAAATCATGCTGCCATCTGTGGTGATTGCCCCCATTGTGGCATGAAATATTCTAACCAGTCAGCTTTGAAGTACCATGTACGTTTGATGCACTCTGATTTGACCAATAGGTTATGCTGCTACCTTTGTCCTCGGTCTTTTACGATGCGGGAGACATTCAAGGAGCACATGTGGACAAGTCATGGTCAAAGAAACTAACAAATGTGTGCCTTATCATTGTTCCTTTAAAGACGAAAATTGTGATGAGAGTGGAATAGTATTAATGTGCCTTGGAAAGCATGTCGCCTTCATATGTTATAATATAGTTATTGTTACCAGTTTATAGATTGTTACATTGGTGTATAGAGTGAGACCAACAATATTAGGACAATTAGATAAATGGATATTGCCAATTTGAATGATAGTTATATATATGTACAAATAATTGAATTATTTATTAAGTTATATAATTTTACTGCTTGTGTTTTATTCATGTACGAGTACTAATTTTTATAATGTCTAGTTTGTTGTTTATTCCAACACGGTTTTGAATAATATTTTTTCTTTTGTGAAATTTATTAATATAATTTTTATTGAGATTACCATAGTCTGCAAGAAATCAAAGACTTCTATTGAACTTGCTATATCTCAGATTGGATATTATTCCACTCGTGTTTCTGCAGATAAGCTATGGCTTATCTGCAATCTGTTGTAACTATTGTTGAAGAAAGTACAGTTGATTTACTCAGTTTACATTGTATATTTTGGTGTAGTACATTAACAAAGCATGAATTGCTTAAAAGAGTTTTAAAAATATATTTTGCACAGTGAAGATTAATATATTATATACTATTGTTATCAAGATGTGTAGCATAAGACACTGAAAAGGAAAACTAGTGACAATTATAGGACTTAGTAGCAATCAGTGCATAACTGACTAATCATGTCCTGACACTATAGCCGTTTGTCTTTGTATTTTATTTTATTATGCATGTTTTAGACGAGAACTACATAAGTGATGATGAAAGATCGGAATAGGCATATAGTTATAAACCCGAGTTATAATATAGTGTGTTCTTTTAAGTGGACCAGTATGGGGAAATTCGAAACCATTGGAGGAGATACAGAGCAATTGTCTTAGGAACAACAAAGAAATCTTTTTTTATGAAAATAACTGGCATAGTAAATTTTTTGGTCAAGTGTGAGTTGTCCATAAAAATTAATAAAATTGATTATTTTTTTAGTTTCATGTAAGGATCATTGCATTGTATTGGAAGAAATAAAAGGGGACGGCAGAAGCCGGTGAAATTTAATAAAATGTTTTTTTTTCATACAAAATGAATAAATGTGTCATTTTTTTTAAATTCTATTAGACTCGGTTTCTTGTAAGGATAATTTCATTGTATCGGAAGAAAGAAATCGACTGCCGAAATTGGTCAAATTTAATGAAATGTTATTAATTTAGTATGAATAAAACTTTTTAAACTGAGTCGATCAGCACTAATAAAGGTAATCAATTTTATTCACTTTTATGAACAACTCATGCTTGACCAACAAATTGACTGCCAAAATTGTTTTGTCTTAATGGTTCCTAGTTCCTAAGACAGTTTCCATGTATCTCCTACAGTTTCGGATATCTTCATTCTGTCCCAGTGTATTATAACTTGTATAAAAATAATCGACCTCAAAAGTTCGTGGAATTACATCTAATTTTTATCAGCCAGTTTTTATTGAAATCGGTTACTGGAAAGTGCGCGAAACCGGATTCATCTCTTAGTTTGACATCCTTAGAGGTCTTTCCAACAAATAAAAGAATCTTCAAAATCGGTTCAAATCGAGTCGGTTCAAAAAAGAGTATTCGCGAACATTCACACACAAAAGAGAAAATACAGTCAAATTGAGAACCTCCTCCTTTTTTGAAGTTGCTTAAAATATACTATAGTGTGGATAATATAAAGCAAAAAATCCTTATATTTTTACTATTACCAATCTTTTCTTTGAAATACATTACTGTAGTAAATTGATTGTTATATAACAATTCCAGCGGAATTGATTTCAGAGGGAAATCCATTTCCATGTGTATTACTTTCTTGAATTTTATGGTACGTGTTAAGTGAATGAGGTTTTCCAGACATTTATCGTGACGTGTATTAAAAAATCATTATAGTGATTTGGTTCTGATTATTTTAATATAGAATGTGCTTTCAATCATAAATGTATAATATCCAAGCTATGTTGCATATTATCTAAACAAACATTCAACTTATGATAAATCATTGTCGAATATATGAAACGAATCTTTCGGATGTTGAAAATATAATCGCGAATAATTTTTTATTCTTTAAATAAAACCACTTCTCGGGCTCTTTAAAGGAGTGGACGTCATTAATTTCGCGTGATATATATTTTGTTAAATTGTACTGCAGGCTACTAAAGCTATAAATAAGTATGTCACAAATTTAGTAGCAAAATTGTATTCTGCCGTTTCCATAGTGTTCATACCAAAACAGTACAGAGTACTAAAAAAACTGACCTCAAAAGTCATTCATCCACTAGTTTGCCATCCTTAGAGGTGGAATATTTTCTTCAAATTTAAATGGGACTACATCTAAGGTACCCTCTTTCCAATAAAAAAGAATCATCAGAATCGGTTCACAAATTTCCGGCCGGAGTTATCGCGTAACATACATACGAAAGAACATACAGTCGATTTGAGAACCTCCTTTTTTTAAAGTCGGTTAAAAATTGCAGTTAACAAAGTTACTGATATCTTGTAACCAAGTGTATTTATACTAATGTTACTAGCTTCCTTTTGTAAATTTCATTATTGAAAATTACGTAATATTACGAGTGGAATCTCATTTACATTAATTGGAATTAAATAATTGCAAATGTATTCTAGCGTTTGAATACTTGTTACACACGCGTGAAATGTATTATGGAGGAATATTATTAAAGTTCAATTATGTGCAAAACACAAACCGTTGTGATACAAGAGTGATAAAAATATTGACAGTTCAGTTATATTTAATTATATTATACATTAAATATTCAATTCCTAAAACATTGTTTGTTACAATGTTCACTTATATTTAAGACGTGTTTTAACCCAGTATATTTTTTTACTTTAATACTTGTTATAATACCAACAGGAGCAGTGAGTGTCTGTATTGTGGTTTATTCGTCTTAGGTTACATTATTAAACAAAGAAAAGCGAGGATGTAACAATAGGTTTTTATGTAACAACCAAAATATTATAATGTAACGACCAATACATTTTAATGTAACAATGTGTTATAATGTAACAACAAAGACATTATAATGTTACGACCATTACATTATAATGTAACAAACAATACATTACTTCTGACAAAATATTTTTTTTGCGAAAGAAACAATCGTTACCGTTTAAGAGTCGATACTACCTCAGCTCGAATTTACATTTTTCCCAGACTAACACGGTTAATTTTGCTTGGGTCGAGCGACAGGGACACTGTCTTTATTTCAAAATTTATTTTTTTACATACGAAATTAAAACCATTTGAATAATGTATATAGTAACGTGTTCTATTTAGTTCAGTTGATATAAAAAAAAAATCATTTGTATACGTAAATTACCTATTAAATACAGCGGATTTCTTGTAAAATTTCGAGGTAACTTTTGATTCAACACTTTCACTGTTATGCAGAATCAACCACAGCAATTTGAGGTTGTATCGATTCTTAACATTTTTTGACAATATATTGTTTGATTTTGTAATCATAGAAATATTACAAAGGTACTATTTATTTATACTTAGTAAATAAATATATTTATGAATTTTGGCAAGCTGTGCCAAAATGTATTATTAAGTTATTAAATTAGTAGAGATAGTTTTGCTTAGATTATTGTTAAGTTTAGTTATTTTTTTATTTAAAATTTATTACAAACTAAATGTTGAAAAAGTCCTGTTTATTGATTGTTTTTGGAGAAAATGTTAAACACCGAAAACACACACAACGAAAACTTGCAATTTCGCACTTGCCGAGAATTGGCAGTGCTGTACAACTGAAAAATTCCCTAGCGGCGGTTACGGAACTGCTATATGACAGTCAGTTTGACAGGGTAGTGTTGGTAATATCACAAATCTAGGATCACGCTATTTATTCTAGGTCATATGCATAATACAAATAACTTTTTTTAATTCGACCAGTTGACGAAATATCATGTCAATATCAAGAAACTTAAGTCCCACCGACCGGTCACCTGATTGGTCGAATGCTTGTAATCTATAAATAATAAAAATCTCATGACAGAAAGGGGCAACGAAAATACACTGATCTAATTGAAATAAAACATATTTGATAGCTTATAAGTTTTATAACGTATTTTCTATCAATAAGTATGTACGCATTAATTGTATTTACTTTGAAGTTTATAATGTAATATAAATTATACATTTTCTATCATGTATATGTATATGCCTAATCTGTACATTAACAGTAATAAAAGTTAAACACTTCTATTTACAGGTCAAAATTGACGATGGAGGTTGGGATTGCCTTATGAAATTGTTATTTTTGTTGTAAATTTTACATCAAGAGATCCTGATGAACTTAAAAAACTTTTTTAATTAATCATGAAAATTATTTTGAAACATTACACAACTCGCAAGTAAACCAAAGAGAATTCAAATGGCTTCATTTGATTTCGGTTTTTGAAGGTCGGCTCAAAGACAATTCTCACTACTAATTTCAGTATTTCAAAACGCGCCAAATTGAGATAGAAAATAATAGAAGAAAACACAATTGGCTGTTTGACATGTAACCATTTTTCATACATTGGAAAAGTATAAAAACTTCGTTAGGGAAATATGGTTGTCAGTACGATATTGTGATTTAATTAATGCAGAATGTTGTACGTTTGTTTTATATTATTCATCATTGTTTAAAAGAGTTGAATAGGTTCAACTAAAAAAAAGTATTAAGAGTTGTTTTTAAAAAAACTTACCTGCCTACACGTAAGTTTGTATGAAAAAATTAATATAAATATATTTTTGAAGAATTGATCAGTTCTATTTTACCTATTGCCATTAGTGAAAATTAATTGAAAACTATAATTTTAATTAGAAAATAACTACAGTTATGATTAAGGCTATAGTTATGTTACATACATATTGTTGAATATTTTATTCAGAATTTTACAAGATTTACATTTTAAATTATGTTATGATTAAAAAGAACTGCTTCGTATTTACGCATTTTTATTTAACGAAGATTAGCTTTTGGAAGTGTTTTCAATTTTAAATTCTTTATGTAATAATTTTTTTACTAAAGTATAAAACGATCTTGTTTATTTTACACGGCTCTGTCACATTATTAAGTTTGTTTTACATAACTCACATTAGAATTAAAAGTGTCTAATTTCCGGTCAACACGTGAAGGGCGGTTAAATTTGAAAGTCAATCAATTTTTATTAACCTGAATGTTCGTCTAATTGTTTGTTACTTTATCATGTAACGGTTGAAAGGGATTTGGTGTTTACGTACTGAAGTACTTACGGTACTTTACA